ATAATCTCTCTTAGCTGACTGAGGTACATGTTGGCTAATGACAAGACAGGTATGCAGGGCTTTCCACTTAGCAGCTAGTCACCTTATTTTCTGGATCCAGGGCTGGAGTGATCTCTCTTGAAGTGAAATCAGCAAGTATACTCTTGGTGTTGTTCTAACTGACGACACAGATCTAAAAGTCACTATGAAAGAGGACTACAAAATGGACATTCTGCCTTGCAGCTAAAATATAGCTTGAATAAATATTTATTACCTGGGTGCCTGTTTTGCTTAGTTGTGTCTTCTTGGCAGTTTCAAGATTTAAAAGCAAAATTTATTCTAAGTCAGTTGTAACATCTCTTGTTTAAAAAAAATCAGTGTGATATTCTTTCCTTGCTATGGATTCCATGTGTTGAAATTTAAAGACTCCAGTGGATTACTTTGTAGAATAAATATTAGTTAATGAAACATTTCATAAGTATTAGCAGTACTTACTGAGCAGATTTTGTAATAATTCAAACTCTAGTATAGAATTATTATAGGACAAAAATGAGGAGTGCTGGGATACCAGGAATGGTTTAGCAAAAATCATATTGCAAAATGAAATTTAAAAACTCAGTTCCAGAGAATGAAGATGCAAGTACATTTTAGCTTTAGTGACGTTTCTTGCTATGTTTTTATAACCAGTATCTTACTTCATCTAAAATCCCTGTTGATTACACTGGGTATGTAGTCAAGAGAAACAGTGCAATACCAAGTTCTTAGGGACTGCTTCTCCATTGTAAATCTCACTAAAACATGTTAAGAAAATGAGGCCGAAACAGAATTATATAACCTGTTTACAACATCAGATAAATAGATTTATATTTTTTACATTGTTTACTTGAAAAAAATTTACAAGTAATTTGAATATCAGCAACTTCTGCTCATAGAACTTGGAACATGTGATTAAAATGGAAAGAGCCGCTGCATGAGTTTGGTGGGAATCATTTTCTAAACAAGGAAAAGTGATGACATTTGGAACATACTATTGGTGATATTTGCAAAACATTAATTCCCATGTTTGTTACCCTGTAACTTCAGTTGCTTTGCTGTCTTCCATGATGCAAAAAATGAAATCCTTATCATAATAGGATTATTTTAAAAATATACTATTATTATACTGCTGTACTGCAGTATTGAATAAAAGCATTCTTTTTGCAATAGTGTGTTAAATCTGGGCTCAGTACATTGTCTGTATACACAAGCAGTTGAAATTTTATTTACTAGGCTAGTTTATGTCACTGACTAATATCTCTTTTATGAACCAGAATCCTTCATCAAGATAGCCACTTCATCAGTCCTTTAAAGATTCCCAGGCTTGCAAAGGAGTGACAGTTCTGATCAGAGTTCTTCAGCAAAAGAGAAAGATCTTACTTTTGTCTTAGAAATACTCAAAATTGCATAAATTTTACAATCTATGTATGCAGAAAGTACTTAGAAGTACACTCTGTGTACTTAGAAGTATACTCTGTGTGTACTGCAGAGTATGCCAATATTAGCATTACAACATGCATATGCAATTGTCGTTTAGGTAAAAATGTCAATGTTATATTAAATTTGGCTACTTTGACACTGTACTCATTCCAGAGTAAAATGTCAAACAAACTTACCTATGTAAAAGATAGAAACTTAAATGACCTGAGTTTACAAACTTCTTGAGAATGGATATGTCTTTTTGTCCTGATGAAATAGAAAGAAGACATTTTTCTTGTCTCTCTCTCTCTTTTTTTCCTTTCTTTTGTCCTGGCTTTCATTACTGAGGTAATGTATATGCCTATTACTTCTTAATTAAACCTCCAATTAATTATGTCTTTGAGTGTACTGCTGAATGCCATAAGTGTTGATGTCTGTCATGACTTACACCTTGTTGTATATTCCCCATCTCTTATCTTTGTTATCTTTCTTGAATGGTATCTGTCTTCCTGTATCTGTAGTTCAGCTCTGACTTCTGTGTTATCAAGATTCAGTTTTCTCCTTGACTTTAAATTTCACATACTATAAAAGTATTTCAGGATCTTCCACTGTGTTGAGAAAGCTCCTGAGAATAGTTTACAGATCAGAGTTTTTTCTAATCCATTGCCTGTACGGAGTAGACTCTGTCCTGTTGTCTGATTGCTATCCATAGTCTTAATTCTTTTTATTTTATTTACATTTTCTTGTTACCACAGTTTTTAATTCATTTCTGAATTCTCATTTACCCTATATTTTGATTTTCAACTAGTGTTTGGAGATCTATCATTTCTCCGTTTGAAGCTGTTCTTATCAGTTGTGCCAGCTGTGATTGCAGTTAGATATTCCCTTGGGCATTCAAGTCAAATTTAGCTTTTGAAAATTGACTTTCTTCAGTAAGTGCATCCCAACAGTCAAACATTATGGAGGTTTCCTTATACTTCTCATCCGTTAGTTGTTGGTCAGTTTATTCTCTTATTAGGCATTTAATTCCTTCTCTAGAGACTTGGTATTCCTGAAGTTCATACTAATATCTACTTGTTTGCAAGTCTTCCCTGAAGCAGTTAATCCTTAATTCGATTGTTTTTCTTTTTATTTTTCCTAGTGGGAATTAGGCAGTATTGTTTTGGGGGATCTGAAGGAAGATTTCTTACAATGCTTTTCAGTTGCACGTGCATCTGACAGACATTATACTATTCTGGATTTCTGATTCCCTTTGGTGACCAGCCTGAGAGTCAATAGCAAGGAGGCAACAGGTGCATAGGCTTGCCTTTCCATGTATTGTGGGAAATCTACATCCCTCTGTGTGCCATTTTTAATACTGTTTGAGTCTTTGAATGTCCCTTCTGGTTTCTTTCAGTGTTTCTCTGCACTGACTTGGTTCTCCTTCAGTTTCCAGTAACTGGTATTCTCAGTGTCACACTTCAGAGCTGGCATCCAATTTCTTCATTCCCATTGTCCTTATTTTATTTTATTTTTTTCCAGGGCATCAAACCTCCGTTTCAGTTCTGTTTCATTTTCACACATCTGTCTGGAGAGAGTGTACATAATGGAGGCTCTCAGCATGATTATTTCACAATCAGATATGGAACTGCTGCTCTTGGCCACTTGTACTTTTTCATCCTTTTTTTTTTTTTTTTTTTTTTTTTTTTACATCTTCTGATCTTTGTTGTCAAGAACATCACAAAATACTTTAGAATAATAATTATTAATGGGTTGCTAGATGTGAAGAGTTGCAGAGGCTGCAGCTAAGTAAGTACAAGAGGTAAGTACAACTGACAGAGATAACAGTAGTTCAGGAGTTGAACAAGGAAGAATAAATATAAGACTGGAAAAAAACTTTTGATGTTAAAAAAAAGTAAGTTGTAGTTCTCTTACTTAATAACCTTTGGTAGATGCTCTCTGAACATCTATGTGGCTCAAGTGCCATTGCAGAGAACTGGAACACTGCAGGAAACTCTCACAAGAGCCAGCTGTAACATGTACTAATACAGGATACATGATGCTAAACAGAGACTGAAATAAGAAAATCTCTTTTGCATTTCTTTACCCTAATTTCTAAATAGGACCTGATACTAAAAGTAAAATGTACAAAGAATGCACTTCTTCATGGGAAGACTGGAGTAACAGAGTCTCGTTAGGACTAAAATAAGTGCAATACAGGACAGAAAGCATAAACAGTGGTTCAATTTGTAACTGCTAGTACAGAAAAATATGAAGAGTACAACAGGAAAACAGAAAAAATAACTAGCTCATGGTGCTAAATATTGTTATTTTGGAATAAGACTCAAGCTGATAAACAAAGCTTAGATTTAAGGCAAATTAACATGCTAAATGTGTCCAGAAGTGGGAAAGAATCCAGATAGATTGGAATTTTAGGTCCAACAGAACAAGTGTAACATTAGATATATTGTTGAGTATCTAATTATGGTAAAGGAAATCCAAGTGATTGCAGTGGTAGGAAATATACCAGCAACAGATAATGCCAACTTCAAGTAAACCGAGTGAATGTTAGGCTTGTTAGGCTTGAGTGTGAAGAAACCATTAGTGAATATTTCATAGGGAATTTATACAAGAAGGAGGAACTTGTGACCTGCACTGAGCTGTGTGCCTAACAGAACCTTAGTATTAGTAAAGAAGTGCCAGTGTATAAAAGTAATAGCAGTATACATAGATTCAATATGTGTAGGAAAATTTTGTATATTAAGTTAAAATAACAAACTCTATGAATGCGAGGCATTTTATTAAAAAGATGCTTATCATGGAGGTAGAAGTAAAACTTCTGCTGTTGGAATAATTACACTTAAGAAAAAGCAAATGACAAAATTTACTCACAACTCGGAGGAAATTGGCATATTGCCTGTAGTATACAAAAGTCTTCAAATACCAAAAGAACATGAATAAACATGCCATTAGTAAAGGTTTCTGAAAAATCGAAGAGTACCTTAAAAGTATTGAGATTATAGCAAAATGAGAACAGACAGGATCATCAGCGCCGGCTGTAAAAACGCTGGGGAAAAAAAAAAAAAAAAGATCATTTGATAAAGGTGTTCAGAAAAGGATTGAGATAATAATTTGCAAGTGACCTAGAAATGAATAATAAATTACTTTTCCTGATATGCTCAAAAAATAAGTCTGCTACAGATCTGTGAACCCACTAAGACTTATAGATGAGATATTATATCTTAAAAGCTAAATTCTTTATTTACATCTGAGTACACTCAAGAAGAACACAGTGAGGCTTTCCACATGATAATCCTTTTTGATAGATGCCTTTGTTTAAGCTGGAATGGAATTTTTTTCTTCACAGTGTCTAGCATGATGCTATTCCTTTGGTTCTAGGAGAAAAACAATGCTGATAATGCACTGATGTTTACAGTTGCTGCTAAGCAGTGTTGTACAGAGCTAAGGCCATTCTTAGAAAAGGGCCCAAGGAGCTGGGAGGGAACAGAATTAGGACAGCTGCTTTAAAGTGGCCAAAGGGGTGTTCCATACCCCTTATGACATCATTCAGAAGTTTTGAAGAGAATGGAATTTCATCTTTCTCTCTGCCGCTGGTTCATCTTTCTCTCTGCCACTGCTTGGAGGGCTAGCTGAGCATTGATTGGGTGGGTGGTGAGCAATTGTTTGTACTTCACTTGTTATATACATTCATATATGTATATATATGTGCATAGTCTTAACTATTATCCTTTTCCTTTTCTCTCTTAGTAGTTTTATCTTCACCCACAAATTTTACTTTCTTTCTTTTTTTTTTTTTTTATTCTCTCCCCTATCCCTCTGGGAAAGGGAGGGAGGGAGCAAATGACTGTGTGGTGCTTATCCACCTGCTGGGTTAAACCACAACAGTAGAGTAAACATTGGAGGATCAGTATGAAATCGAATCGTTGATGGATGAGGTTTTTGAGCAAACGGACAAAAAGGACAAGAAATCCACACACAGATGACTTATACTCAAGAGAGCTAAAGAAATTCAGAGATGAAACATCTGAGTTACTGACATATATGACCAGTCATTTAAATGTCTTGCTAATATACTTGTCTAATGTAATGCTGGTTTTTTAAACAGTATCTCGAAGGAACATCCAGTGAACTACAATTACAAGTTTATATCTGACATTTACTGATGAACTATTCTGAAAAATATTGTTAGGTAGATGGATGGAAAAGGTGTTCTTGGGATTAACCTCTGTATTTTGTGAAAAGAAAAAAAGGTTTCAAGTGTATTAGTATTCTCTGATTTCAGTAAACATATGGGCAAGAGTGATTTCGCTAGTAGTCATTTTAGACTTCCAGTTTTCTCACCAAAATCTTCTAAGAACTAAGGAACCTGGAAAGTTCTCATATAACTAAATAGTCAGTTGTAAACTAGGTAAATGGAGGGCATGGATAAAATGTAGTTTGCCTGCTGGAAAGAATTTGCTGATGGAGTTTATCAGTCTGTGCTGTAATGGGCTTTTTAGCATATTCACAAATGAACTGAGAAAGAATGCATACTAATGATGAAGAGCTGCAGAGCAATTTCAGAATGCTCTGATAAAACAGCTGATTAACTTCAACGTAGATCAATAGATAATGATACCTTTAAGGGGAGAGTGGGGAGGAGAAAAAAGAATGGTTCTAATTTTACATTTTTACATATTCTTTGACTAGTTGTGAGTTGACTATTACAACTCTAAATCTCATTCTGAGTGGTAATAGATAGCCTTATGAAAAAAGGAGTGCAGTGCTCAGTATGGAATATTATGAACTATTGTGAAAGAAACGGAGAACAAATCAGAAGCTCATTATTTCACTTTGCAAATCCATCATGTACATTCATTGTGAATAGAGTGTGGAATGCCAGTTCCCCAAATTAAAAAGAATATTAACAAATGAGAAAAAGCATTTGGAAAAAAAAAAAAAGAAAAGGAAGATGAGAATGTTGTAAAAATGAAGTGTCTGACTTTTTCTTTTAAACAGAAAATACAAGAAAATAACAACAACAACAACAATAACCATAATAATAATAATAATAATAATAATAATAATAATAATAATAAACAGAATCACTTTCATGCATAGTCATAGAGTCATAGAACCACCAAGGTTGGAAAAAACCTCCAAAATCATCTAGCCCAACCAACTGAAGAGACCTTCTCCCTCTCTCTCAATTCATCATGTGGAATGAAGTATCAAAAAATAGGATAATTATGTAAACCAGATTAATTCTTCAGAAAAGTGACTTTTTATTATGAAGGCAGAAAGTTTAGATGTATATACACAGAATGCAGGTGATGCTTGTTACTGAGGTGGTGGCTAGGGCAAGTAATCCATGGAGCTGATATAACTGCTGTTCTCTGTAAGGTGTGGATAGGGGATGGAGGACAAACATAATAAAATGTTTTTCAAATTCATGCATTCTAAATAAGAAAGGGAATATTTTCAGTACTTCATTTGCAGATATGCATTAAGAAGTGCTTTATGACTTGATGAATCAATGACTTGATTCAGTGATAGAGTTCTGGCAAGTGTCCTGGGAAAAGAGAATGTGTACAAACATCTGTACGTTTACAGTAATTCATCTGGGAAACATGGTTTTCTCAGACTGGTGCATGAATTATTATTGGCACCCAAGTTATTTCATTAATAAAAATGACAGAAAGTTGATCTTGAAGTAAGCACTAAGATCTGTATACATAACCTCTTGTTTTAAGGCAACAAGACTTTAACTCTTGAAATCCACTACTACAAATTACAAAGCAGTCTTTGAAAAGAGCCTGAGCTCTAAAATGAAGTGAACCATCAAAAAGTGTAAGCTGTCTCATGTAAAACATCATTCCTTGGAAGAGCCAAATATGGTTTAAATGGACCTCAGATGAATAGTGATGCTGATGCTATTAGGGCTTATGTCATAAGAATACATAACTAAAGCCTTAGAAATGCACTAAAATACAGGCAAAAATAAAGTGGGAAAGTCTATGTGGGGAGCAAAGGAGAAGAAAGACCCTATACAGTAAAAAGAACAGAGTTGCTAGTCCTGGCTGTCCATCTGTTATTCAGTTCTCTGAATAACTAAAAACGTCACTGTAAAATCAAATCCATATGGCCTAAGCATCGTCTGCTTTAATAATAACTCCTGCTGGGAAATTAGCCTGTTTGTAGAGACATGAGAGCTCAGATATATATATAGGAGTGTGAAGAGAATAAAGATCCTCCTGGAGAGGAACACAGAGTCCAACTAAGGGTACTTGAGCTACAGATGGACAAAGCAAATCTTGGAACTTGATTTACTTCCTGCTCCCACTTATTTATATATGTATTATTATTATTATTGCATGTTTTCATAGTCAGAATGCCAAGCAGGTGTGTAGAAACAGAGAAAAATGAAAATCTCAGCATTTTGGTGTTCAGGAGAGACATATAATTCATAAAAATCAATGCTGTGTTATGATGTTATGGTGTTGAATGATTCTTTTCTGAGGAAACAGAAGTATGTTGAAAAAGATAGCCTTCCTGATATATCAAAGTGTACTGAAGAGAAGTAGACATCTTCTTCCCTGTATTAAATAACCAGCCTTTTGCTAAGGATAGAAAATGACTTGAGTCTCTTGGGGAACCTACTGATTAGAGACAAATCCCATGGCCTCTACAACTATTTTGTAGTGTATGTGTACACACATTTTGTGTAGTGATGACTTATCCCTGCATGATTGTATCAAAGGAAACCTCCAAACATTTTGTGGATATATATATATTTTTTTTCCTCAAGAAAGGAAGATATAAGCAACAATAGCCTCAACTGACTTTCTCAAGCTTCTCCAAGTCCCTCTGAATGGCAGAACGTCCATCTGGTTTATGAATCACACCTCCCAGATTTTATCATCAGCAACTATGCTAAGGTTACACTCTGTCCTATCATCTAGATCATTGATGAAGATGTGAGATAATACAGAGCTCAGTACTGACCCCTGACATACACCCATTACCACTAGTGACTCATCTGTAGCTGACTTTATGTACCTGATCACCACTATTTGAGCCCAGCTTGTCAGTTTTTAATTCAGTATCAACTGCTTGCCCCTTCATGCAGTGAGATGGCAATTTCATTTTGGAAGGCTATCAGGTTGATCAGGCATAATTTTTTCTTCATAAATCCAGGCTTTTTGCTTTCTGGTCGTTTATACTCTGGGAAATGTCTTCCAGAATTTGTTGTTCTATCACCTTTCCAGAGACTGGAGTGAAACTAACTAATCTGTACTTAGGAGTGACATTTGCTTTCTTCTGAATTTCACTGATCACTCCTTTGAGAGTTCACAGTAGCATCAGCCAACTCCCTCAGCACTCATGGGTGCATCCCATCAGAAGCCATGGACCTCTGTATGTCTGATTTCACTATCTTGATCCTCTCCCACCAAGGATAGGTCTTTTTTAATCCATATTTTCCAATGGTTATTTTCAGGAATAACTTGAGGGTTATTCCTGCCTCTGGGCAGGAACTTCATGATATTCTTCTCTGCCCATATGTCTAGCCTGTCGAGATCTCTCTGAACAGTGGTGCATTCAATCACTCAACTCAATTTGGTATCATCAGGAAAATCAATGAGGGTGCACTCTATCCCTTCATCCATATAATTGATTAATAATCTGAACATGACTGGATCCAGTACAGATCCCTGGGTAGCACTGCAAGCTACAGTACTCCAACCAGACTCAGTGCCACTTATCACAACATTCAGAGCTCTTCCAGTCAGCCAGTTCTCAATCCACCTTGCTGTCCACTCATCTAATCCATATTTTCTGAGTTTACCTATGAGGATGTTATGGGAGACAATGTCAAAATTGCTGAAGTCCATGGTAATGACATCCACTGCTTTCCTCTCATCTACTTGACCAGCCATTCTGTCATAGAAGACTACTACGTTGGTTAAGCATTATTTCTGTTTGGGTTTAGTCAGGAGCTCCTTGTTTAATCATGCAAGCCTACCATCATTATCTGACTTTCTGCATGTGGGAATGCACCACTGTTGAGCTTGGAGGATAGGATTATTGAAGAAGAATCATTCTGAAAGCATTTGTAAGTTTGATCGGAAAGAGCAAGGGAGTCTTAGAACAGTAAATAGTGCAGGAATAGAACTGTTTTAAAGTTAGACATAAATGCCTGGCTTGAATGGAAATAATACAGGATTAATTTTTTTGCTTTCATTTCTGTCTGCACACAGAAATATATTGGTGTGTGGAAAAACGTTAACTGAAATGATCTGCAAAAACAGATCCAAACTTATCTGTGATGCCTTGGCTCTGGACAAAAAGCATGCAAGTGTAGGGTTGTTGGAAATTTAAATGCACTCTAGAAAATCATCTTGATCCTACTGCATTTTTCTAGGTATGGTGTACTTACAGAATGGTCTCCAGGTAAATGCCTGTGCCTTCAATCTAAACAAGTGCAGCTTTCTAAGATGCAAGATAACTTCAGTGTTATATAACAATATAATTAAAACTTCTGATTGCCATTTTCTCCTAGAGAACAATCATTGCCTCTTTTGCAGATGTATGTAAGACAGCATGCAAAACTGTATTTCACTTTGCATTAATAGGGAAGATAAAATATTTTACATGTGTTGTGGCA